CTTTTTTTTATCTTTCCACGGCACAAATATAATGAGAGTTGATCTTCATAATTCAACGTTACAGCCGATATCCTCTCAAAAATTATGCTACAGTACTAGGAAGAGCAAACCAGGGTTCTAAATATAAATGCCTTGCCTTGCACATTTCCTTATGAGTAACTGTGGAATGCCTTTGAGCTTCTACATGTACTTCATGATATCATACAAAGTAAAGTATCAACGGGACAAACATTTTCCCCTGCAGTGTACCGCCGTAAGCAGAAGCAGCTGAAGGAGGCTCGTCAGGAGATTCAGAGCCCAGAATATCAGCTGAGTAAGCTGAGAAACCACACCATCATCACTGACTATAACCCCAACTACACCTTCGGAGGCAGCCAGGTCACACTAAACGACCTTCATGAGATCCCTCGGGACAAGCTATCCCTTATCAGGTTTGATTCACCACTTTTTGTACTGTACACTAGAGGGTACTGACTTACAAAGCCACTAGAGTCAACTTAATCTTGGGGGTGCTTGGTTTTGTATCTTTGGTTTTCCTCCTGAATCTCAATCTCCTGGACTCCAATCAAGCATCACTGCTCATACCGTGGATAGTTTCAAGTTTTGAAAAAACAATCCACCAATCTTCCACCCAGCAGATGCTGAAAACCTGACTGTTGACCTGTTTTGGTCATTAAAGTATGGTTTATAACTGTAAGTTGTAGAACATGGCTTATACAATGTATCTGTAATCACACTGACATTGGTATCTATAAAGAATATGGGTTGTTGTGTTTTTACTTATATCTCTTTTGAGAATATTGATATAATGTCTCAATATGAACATATTTAAATGTCTTATTTTTCATCCTCTTTTTAGATTCTATTATACAAGTATGATTTGAGTACCTTGTTGGAAATTCTCTTCACAGACCTCTTGGCCAGGGTGCCTTTGGTGAGGTGTATGAGGGGATGTTGAAGAGCATGCCTGGGGAGAAGCCACACCTTGCTGTGGCTGTAAAGGTAATGGTCCCAGACTTCTGTTCCTCATGCTATGCTATATACCTAAAACTGAGTATGTTGCTTCTGTACCTGTTACAGTTAAAGGATACCATATGATTGTCAAGTACAAAAAGACTCCTTATAAAAACAGTTGTATAAATGACATTTCAAATGCAGTGGAGTGTAGCAGATCTGCAGTAATGAGATCCATCCAAGGCCTGCAGGCTTCTGTCAGAGTGAGGTTTCCTCCACCCCCACATAAATCAATGATTTCTTTGCCAGACCAGTTGTATTGATTCTTAGATTTTCTCAGGGAAATCATGCACTACGCAAACATGATACAAAAGGTTTCCACAGGAGCCAAATTGTGATCTTTTAATAATATTTTTCTTCAAATAGAATCAATTGAAGAAAAGTGGCAAATCCAAGAACTAAGAAATTAAATTGGCATTGCCATAAGGTCATATAATCTGAATCTGAAAGATTCCTGGAAGACATGTACAATTATTCTTGACAAATGAAAACTAGCACATCACGATCAGAAAAGGGGAAATAATGTGATCTGACGGTGACCTCCATGATCCCATATCTGTGAGAATTTGCTAATAATGACAATCTCTGCATGTCTATGTCGGTAACATGGCTTTGTTCCTGCACAGACACTTCCTGAGCTGTGCTCTGAACAGGACGAGATGGACTTCCTGATGGAGGCTCTCATCATCAGGTAAGCACTGGGAGACACATTTGTATTCAGAGTGTGCACCTCTGCAGGAAAGTACCAGATCGATAGCATCTATTGTTCCTGTGATGAATGTTTTTTACAAAGGGTTCTTTACATTTAGGACATGGTTACTGGTTTAATCATGTTTCTACCATTCGGTAATAATAGACTAAGTCATTTCTAGGAGGCCACATTTTCTATGCACTACAGCTGGGATGGCAGAATTTAGTATCTTGGACTTATTATTACTGATTGCAATGTTTATTTCTTTAAGTAGACATCTTCATTCTGTTCATTTTGTATGCAAAATATTATAATATTGTGATATTTTACTCTCTGAGCCTTGTAAATCTGCTCAACAATTATATTTAAAACATTAGGCAATGTGAAAATGACAGAATAAAGCAGACACATTCAACATGCTGGGTCCAGAAGTATCACTGTGGAACAGAACAATTTGAAAATATTCTATTTATGGAAGATGTGTGATTTTGTGAAATGCTTTGTCTTTGGTAAGGTAATGTTAGCTGATTATAATTGATATCTTAGTTTATTTTCCATCTACCTGTTCCTTATAGTAAGTTTGACCACCCCAACATTGTGCGGTGCATTGGGGTGTGCTTCAAGCAGTCACCAAGGTTCCTCATCCTGGAACTCATGAGTGGGGGCAACCTTAAGAACTTTGTCCGAGAGAACAGGCCCAAAACTGTGAGTTTATCCTCCTTCAGACAGATTACAGGCAACCTGTAAAGCAGTAACTGCAATATGTGTCTGCATGGTGTTTTTCCAGATTTGAAGTGAAGAAGGTGTATTTTCCATGTTTGTGATGCAAAATTCACACAGTTAACATACTGTTAGTCAGTTACACAATTACTGTTAGCATAGGTAATTTGGAATGGTACATTATTTAGAATTTGTAACAGCTGGTGGTGCTGTATTGTTTGTCATTGGGTGGAAATTCCAAAGGGCAGGCAAAATATTTCTTTATATATCAACAAGATCAATTGCTGTTCCAGGGACATCCCTCCAAGCTGACTATGATGGATCTTCTGGAGCTGGCCAAGGATGTGGCACGCGGCTGTCACTACCTGGAGGAAAACCATTTCATCCACAGGTGAGCACAGACAGTCAGATGACTAACGCCTCGTTCAAATGTTGTGCAAGCTGTAAAACGCTGCTGGACACGTAAATTTACCCATCTTTGATACTTAAACCGCTGCTTCTTGTTGCAAGTAACCTGTTGTCATCGGCCTCTTTAAAAAGTTCAAAGGTAGCACAAGATCTTAAGTCGCTGTCACATACATTGTGCAATACACGATGATGATTTTCAAAGAAACAGGTGCAATAGTGATAAGTTAAACTATAATGCATCCATTTCTTCTCAAACCTACGATGTACAGCAATATTATCGGGGATAAGACATTGTAGTTGCATCGTACATTGTACACAGTGTGTGTAACAGGTTCAATGAAAACTGTAAGATTTCTGCTTTTAAGCCATCAGTGTTGTCTCAAGAGCACACATCTGAAAAACACCCTTTAAATCTTACTTTCAATGGTTCGTGTATGTCAGATGTCAAGAGCCCAAGAGGGCACTTCTCACATGTTTCCATTAAGGTCTTAACCTTTGGTGCATGCTATCAAAGTGACCCATATCGTCATCACAACTTGTAAAGTATGACTCTAGGACAGTTATAAGTAGCTACCAGCATTGTGCTGTTACTTAGTCTTAGGAATTGAACTACTATTAATACGTCAGTGAAGGTTACTATTAATAATTATATCAATTCCTGACAGACATGCAGTGCTCTATTACCTCTGTTTATTAAACAATTGTTAAAAACTACCCCCTGCCGTTATAAGGGTAAAAGTTTGAAAACCTCGTCCAAACCTCTGGAAAGTACATATATAATGCATAATGTTCACAACAACTTTCCCTGAGGTAACAAGACATTCTTGTGACTGTTTCACAGAGATATTGCCTGTAGGAACATTCTTCTGACCACAAAAACTGGAGCAGACCGTATGGCAAAGATTGGAGACTTTGGAATGGCCAGAGACATCTACAGGTAGGAGTGATTTCATTGATGCTCTGCTAAGTAAGAGCTCTTATAGAATAAACTTTTGAGTGTTTTGTTGTCTCTATCCTTCTCTATCAATTTTAGTGAATTATCAATCAGTATAAATGGACTTGCCATCTCTGTAAGGCCATCAAGGGTGCTCTAAGTTCACTGACTTGACATTGCTGACCTATCAAGTTCAATTAACAGATGCCATTGACATACATGTAACACAACAAATTGTTTTGGTGAATTTCCCAAGGTCCAACTACTACAGGAAAGGTGGAAGAGCCATGTTGCCGGTGAAGTGGATGCCTCCAGAGGCCTTCCTTGATGGAGTCTTCACCACCAAAACTGATGTGTGGTAGGTTTCAAAAATTCTAGAAATGATGCAGGTGCAGAAAATGTCCATAAATTGATGAAAGACTTTTATTTGTTTAAAGCTGTAAGTTAAGACCACACAGAATAACATTGGATGGCTTCTTAACTTTAAATTCTACCCTTGTGTATATAATATTATTATATAGGTCCTTTGGAGTTTTGCTATGGGAAGTGATGTCCCTGGGATACATGCCATATCCAGGCAAGAGCAACCAGGAGGTCATGCAGTTTGTGACTGAGGGAGGCAGAATGGACCCGCCTCGCAGCTGCCCTGGACCGGTGTAAGTTAACCTTTAGCCTTTTAACTGTGGGAAACTGTGGTTACTTATTAGGGCCAATGAAAACCTGTGCCATTTGGGGATCTGACAGTAGAAAGCTTTCTGTGATTGCATTCCATTTTTAATACTGCCAACAGCTTTGTATTTAGTCAAACCAATTTTTATGACTGCAGAGTGGTGCAAGTCGATAGACCATTAGTGGATCTGGTAAGACATGTTACATGTAATGCCAGGTGGATTCTTGGGAATACATTGTATGAATATTAATGCAATAAATTGCTTGTTATTGTGCCAGAAATGTTCACCAGACTTTACCAGAATTCAAAAGAGATAGGGGCACTGCTTAATTGAAGCTGATGTAAATTCTGATTCTTATGGTTGCATCTGTGGAAGCCTTGTTTTATTTTCCTCTAGACTTCACAACCTCAGACAGTAACTGGAGATTGAATCGTGACATGCATCACACTAAAAAGCAGTCAAGTCTGCTGTAAAGACGGCAACAGCCATACAGTGGATCTTTGTGCAGTAACCATACATCTCGCCACCAATCAGTGAATGAACAGGATCCTGAGTTCAAAGCTTTGGGTCTGCTCTCATAGTTCCCCAGGTAGTCTAAGACGGCTACATAAAAACAGTGCATATATAGAGCTTGCAGCCTCAGTAATCCCCATGATATGCACACTTCAGAGATCTTCAGATATCCAGTTCAAGACATTCTTGAGAAGGCCTCATCACCACAGTTTTTATGGTTGCATCTTTGCAAGCCTTGCTTTTAGTTACCGTGCAGATTGCTAGAATTATTGATATTAAATGAGGTCTATGATAAAAGAAACATTGTGATTGAAGTCTGACTGTGTCCTACAGGTACAGAATCATGACCCAGTGCTGGCAGCAGAACCCGGAGGACCGACCCTGCTTCTCCACCGTCCTGGAGCGACTGGGTTACTGCACACAGGTGAGTGTAAGTCACCTCTTACATTGTCTGGAAAGAGAACTCTGGACCAATGTACAAACTGTTAATTTGCATTAGTTGAGTTGGTAATTATCAACA